GTCGTGTACGATGTCACCGTGGAGGCCACGATCGAGAAGGGATCTGGGGCTCCTGCCTCCGTCCCACCAGCTCCCGTGTGGCCTCGCTCGTTTCTCTCCCCCCCTCCCGTGGATCAGCCACCGCCCAGGCCCCCAGAGGCTGCCCGGTTCCATGGGCTTCTCAGCCCACCCTGGGGCTGCCCGGGGCTACAGCCTGCCGCCCCGGCTCCGTGCAAAGGGAACGTCCCGCCCCTAGAGCCGCCACTCAGCACCGCCTCAGCAGCCAGGTCCCGAGGGAGCCCAGGCCTGGAGTGCTGGCGATTTCTTCAGCCACCCTGGGACTCCATCGCGGCCGAGGGACCCGTTCCGGCCGCTCCCTCTCCACATGCCCTCTGCTCTCTGGGGGGCACAGAGGAGCCGATGGGCTGCCAGGATTAGATCGTAGTGTTGCCACAGCCCCCTGCTGGCTTCCAATGAATGCCCAGGCCACGCCCCACCCCACTGCCGCCCACGGCCGGCCTGTTCTCACGGGGCGCCTCTGCTTTGCCTTTCAGATTCGCACCAAGTGGATTCCCTTGGTGAACGGGGGAGTTGAGAAGGGCGCCAGGTACCGTGCCAAGGGAGTCTGGTCGGGCAGGGGCGGTGGCCAGTTCTCCCCGACAGCCTGCGGATTGCTGGCTCTTCGCCAGGGACAGGGGGTCCGACGGGGGAAATCGCTTGGGGCTGGCTGCAAAGAGCGGTACCAGGCTGAGGGGCAGCTCTCCTGCTCGAGGGCCCCACAGCTGACAGCGCTGGGGAGACTCAGGCGGCTTTTCCTCCTCCCGGGCTCTCGCTGCCGCCCAGGCGGGAGGATCTGCCGGTGAGAGGCCGCCCGAGGCCGCCTGTCGGGAGCGAGTGAGCCGCTGAGTCGGGGCAGGGCAGCAGACGGTCGTCGCACACGCGCGGTTGTCTGGGGACGCCATTAGTAGGACCAGCCCGCCTGGCCTGTTCGGGTTCATCCTGCCTGGTTCCTGGCGATGGGCGAGCAGGCGGGGCGCTGGCGGTCCTGTGCCCCTCCCCCCAAGGGCGATATGGGACCCAGATGAGAACGCTGTGATGGGGAGACAGTGTCTGGCGTCCCCCTGCCCCCCATGCCACTTCCTCTCCTCTCCCTCCTAGAATCCCCATCATCCTCGTGGGGAACAAGTCGGACCTGCAGTCCGGGAGCTCCATGGAGACCATCCTGCCCATCATGAACCAGTTTTCAGAGATCGAGACCTGCGTGGAGGTGGGAGAACCCTGGGGGCGTCCGTGGGCCGTTGCCCAGTGAGCAGCCCTGGCCCGTCCAGTGGTAGTCACGAACAGGAGCCCTCATCCCCGGTCCCAGGGACATTCTGCACCCTGACTCAGACCTGCCTTCCCAACACAGGCCCTGCCAGAGCCCCGCCCGGCCCTGCCTGGCTCTAAGGCAGGGGTCCCCAACCTTTTGGGGCTGCAGGGCGCCCAGGGGCGGGGCCGCTCACGCGCTGTGCTTCTGGGGGTAGGGCTATGCATGCACACGTGCCCAGGAGTGGGGGCCAACCATGAGCTCTGAGCCCAGGGACGGCACCGCGCATGTACTATGCGCCCGGGGCAGGGGCCGCCCATGCGCCCGGGGCCAGCACTGCGCATGTGCCGTACACCAGGGGTAAGGGCCACTTATGTGCCCTGAGCCTAGGGCCAGCACCGCACATGTGCTGCGCGCCCAGGGCAGGGGCCGCCCATGCGCCACGCGCCCGGGCCCAGCACCACACATGTGCCGCGCGCCGGGGACAGGGCCAGCCCAGATGTTTCGGCAGGCGCACATATATGTCCCGGGGCGCCTGCGGGCACCGCGTTGGGGACCACTGCTCTAAGGCTATGTTTACATGGCTGTTCCCCCACCCCCGCTGAAGATATGTAAATCACGCTCTCATTTGCATATCTTCTGCTGATCCTTTTTGCAGAAGAGGTTTGCAGATAGAAAGTCCCCTGTAGACAGGGCCATTTGTCAGAAAAAAACCTTTTGTGCAAGATCCCTTATGTGGGTCAGGGGCGGCTAACCCGCAGGGATATCAGATGGGGGCCCACAAAACTGAGAAGCAAAAAAACCCCCCACACCACATGCGCACACACGCACGCACACTCACACACACACACACATACACACACGCACACATACACACACTCACACACACACACACACATATACACACGCGCACACACACGCACACATATACACACACGCACACACACGCACGCACACACGCACACACACACACACGCACACACACACGCACACACACACACACACGTTCTTTTTCATTATTATTTTTATTTAAAATCTTACTGTGACGGTTGAATTTGCCTTTTGCGGGGGGTGGGGTCCCTGCCCTCCCACTCCTGAAGGGATTCCCCCTCCCTGCGGTCCTGCATGCCTCCTTAGCTGTTAAGGCGGGATTGCTGGCAGCGTATGGCTCCAGTCTGCCGGACGCTGTTCCCTGCTGCAGCCTGTTCAGGGAAGTGGGGGGGGGGAGGGGAGAAGCTGGCCCGCTGTAGCCTCCCCTTCCTCCTGAAAGGTGCCCCATTCAGGGAGGGGACTCGGGGGCTTCCCTTCCCTCCCCTCTCACTCTGGGAACACATTCCCCTCCCCTCCTCTCCTCTCCTTGGGTACCGGAGGCCTCCTTGCCGCAAGAGTTTTGCTGGCAGCCTCTGTAGCTGCCGGAGGCTGGGGAGCTGCTGCCGCCTCCCAAAATGCCGCCGGGCTCCACCACATGGAGCTTCTCCCTCCCGCCAGATGTCCTGCGCGCGCCTCTCCCACGTGCAGGAGAGGAACCGGAAGGATCCGGCCGCGCTGCAAGGGGAAGTTTTTAAAGTACCCCCGGGGATCCCCCTGAGGTGTTTCACAGCCGCAGGACACCCCCCTGCCGGGGGCCAGATGAAATTGTTTGGCGGGCCGGGCCGAATGCAGGCCGGAGATTCCCCACCCCTGGGCTCCGGGCTGGGCTCTGAGACCTCACACCTCTCTTGTCCGCTCAGTCCGTCTGCCGCCTGGCCCCGGGCCTTGCCCACTCACGGTCCCTCTCTCTGTCCTTGCACTAGTGTTCAGCCAAGAACCTAAAGAACATCTCCGAATTGTTCTACTATGCCCAGAAAGCCGTGCTGCACCCCACTGCCCCCTTGTACAACCCCGAAGAGAAGCAGGTAACCTTGGTCTTCTGCCCAGCGCTTCCCCGGAACCTTCCGGGTCCCCCTCTACAGCCCCAGGCCGCCGGCATTGTGGTGAATCCTCGTGTCCTCAACAGCTGCCTGATTCTCCCTGTCCCAGCAGCCCCCGGCCCACCCCCGGCAGA